TTTTGTACTTTAAAAGTAATCTTTCTTCTGCAAGATAATGAAAAAAAAATGGCTTATTATGGGAAATAAATGAACACGTGGCTTATTATTGGCTTATCTTTTCTTATAAAGTTATTATATGATTTTTAATAGAAAAAAAATTAATGATATTATTAATAATTTTATGCAAAATAAAGCTGAAAGATGTATCCAGAATATTTTTCTTTTGTTTAGAAGTTTTTCCTATGCAAAGTAAACCTAATGGGAAGAAATGAGGAAAACATGCGCCATTTTCCCCATTATCTTGCAGAATAAAGATATGTTTAGTTTTAAAATAATATTATTAGATATAATCTAAAGAAATTATTTCTTTACAGATCTTCCAAATGTATCAGCGATCGCCATTTTTGATTTTGGGCGTGTCGACGGGGAGTAATTTAATATATATTTTAGAGTAGAAGAAACACAAAAATGTCTAATGATAATGTTCGGAATTGCTGAAATTCTTCGAGAAACGGTTTTAAATTGTTTTAGTTTCCAGTAGATAAAATCAGAAGATTGAAATGGATCCAAAACCGAAAGTACGATAAGGTTAAAACAGCAGTCGTTTCTAGGTAAAAGTAATTAAAATATAGCTTATGCTGTTTGTTCTATCTCTTCAGCAGCTGTTAACTTTCTTTGTACTTATTGATAAAAGTTTACTTTAATTTTTAGGTTTTTAGGACACGTTTGTTTTCTATGACATAAAATATTTTTTCTCTAAAAGAAAGGTGAAAAGTTATATAGAAATCGAATTCGGTATACGTTACATTAATACAGTCAAACCTTTCAACAACGGCTAATAATAGAATTAGGTAATTTTGAATGTATTTTTATTTAAAATTGTTACTAACAACTGGCCATTGTTATTAGAGATTCGGTTGTTTATTCATTTAGATGAGAAGAACTATTTGGTCCAAACCCATTTATGAGAGTTCAAAAACATTGTTTATATTAATAATTTCATAGTATTTTTTCGTGTATTAAATAAAATTTGAAAAAAGAGAAAAAAATTATCTAAAAAAATGTAATGAAATTACATATTTTTTTTAACAAACCGGAGGCCTCAAAAAGGTAAATGGTCTAGGCCTCTCTTAAATTCTGGGAGATCCTGTATGTATTACAGTACTTTCTTATATTTTCTTTATTAACATTACCGGAGATTATTACCAAATACTTATTACTGTCTCTTTGCTTTCCTTAATCTCGAAAACGAAGTTAGATAGATGAAAGTTAAGACCTGATATGGAAATCTTAGGGAGGCCCCAATTAACTACATACGAGCTGTGGATTTGAACCGGAAATCATGTTATTTCAATTCAAAAATTTTTTCCAGAACGGAATTAGATAGATGACCGGCATGAGTCCATTGTAACAGGAAAAGTATGATGTACAGGAGCGAGACACTACTAAAATTGAGAGCAATGTGACGAGAAATTGCAGCCCAGTGTTATGATGTGTCACAATAAATAATTGCTCGTTAAAAGTTTATTTCCTACAAAGTTATACTTGCACTAGAAACCTGAGTGGAGGTTAGATTTATCTACCAAAATTTAGATCGGTTTATGCCATTATACTTTTGTTTTTCTATTTGAGACCCATTATATTAAGGATAATTCTGATTGAGGACCATTGACATTGGATTATTTTTATTAATAACTAAACTTTGCCCACTTATTTAAAAGTAAATCTTTACTATTTGAAAAAATTTATATTTAAATAAGTGGTTAAAGTTCAGTTTTTAATGTACACATCACTAATAAAGTTCCTAAACTTTATTAAAAGTCAGTTAAAACCAAAAACTACAGTTCACTTTTCATTATTACAAAAATTTAAGTGACAAAGAACATTTTTTAAAATATGCACAAAAAATTTCTAATTTACTAAGAGAATTTCAGAAGAAACTTTCATATTTAAAAAATTATGAGAAGATATTTAATATTTTCTTATGTCCATTTGACATTGTTGTGGAATCAGCTCCAACAAATTTGCAGATGGAGTTAATAGATTCCCAGTCATCTTCTGAATTGAAATATATGTTTGAGGTCAATGACAAAGTTCAGTTTTATAAAAAATATGTCTGTGAATTCCCTAACCTAAAAAAAAAACTGGCGATAAGCATTACAGTTGCAATGGGAACCACCTATCTTTTTTAATCCTTTTTCTCAAAATTAAAGATTGTTCAATGTAAAAGTCATAATAAATTGACCTAAGAAAATTTTAAAAAGCCAACTACGTTGTACAACGTTGAAAATACCTGTTGATATTAAAAGAATAAGTTTCACATTAATATACATACAAAATACTATATACAGTGGAACCTCGGTATACGTCTGCTTTAGAATACGTCCAATTCGGAATACGTCCTGTTTGGACGAAACAAATTTTGCTCGGTATACGACTTTTGTTCGGTATACGACTTTTGTTCGGTATACGACTTAATTCAATTATACTCGCCATCTATGAACAAGTAGTACTATAGGTGTACTAGACCAGACTAGACGTTTGCGGTGCCACGGTTTATAACTTTGTTAAATTTCTTTTTATTTTAATTTGTAAGTAAAATGTTATTATTTTTATTAATCATGAATTGCAAAAAGGCAACAGGAAAAAAAATGACTAAAATCACAATGGAACTGAAAAAAGAGATTGTTGAGAAATATGAAGGTGGTACGCGTGTTCGAGATTTAACTGTTGCATACCGTATTTAGAGAACAACGATACCGACAATCGTGAAAAATAAAGACATTATTAAATTTGCTAACGTTGCGAAAGGAGTTAAATCAATTTCTAAATAGAGATCGAAGACATTAGATCGTATCGAGAAATTGCTTTTGCTTTGGATAACTGAAAAACAGTGTGCTGGTGACAGCGTATCAAAAGCAATTATTTACGAGAAAGCTAAAAAGATACACGCTGATCTCGTGAAAAATCAAGCAGGAACTAGCCAGGAAAGCGAGGTGTTTAAAGCCAGACACTTTTTTTTAATTGAGAACGGATTAATCATTTTTACATTACTTCTTATGGGAAAGGTTGGCTCGGTATACGTCCTATTCGGTATAAGTCCAAACATCAGGAATGGATTAAGGTCGTATACCGAGGTTCCACTGTAATTGTAAATGTTTTGTTGTAAACAAATATGTGCGGGCCACAGTGTATTTTTATTTTTGGTATTTTCCCAGTAAAGAATTTCGATTGGACACCACTGCTGTAATAGATGTTATCATTTTTCACCAGGAAAGAACACAGTTCGTGTCAGTTATCTCGGTTAACCACGTTAAACTTTCTGCCATTAAACAACACGTGATTATGTTCTCACGTTACTCCGAAACGAACCGTTATTGACAGATAGAAATTCGTCTTGGAGGCTGTCCCCGAAAAAGATAGAATTCAACCAACTTTCGCAGCGGATAAAAGTGATGTCACTCTGCCGCATTTAATTCCATACCCCATGTGTGAATCCACCTTAATCGTTTATTCCAATGACTTCGTGAGTTTTAATAATTTCTAAATGATCATATAATTTCCGTTTTCGGCTGCAATTTGAAAAATTTGTACACCTAAAAATTCCCACAGTTGTCTGCTGTATGTCTGTCCTTCATTACTCTTGAGAACGGGGTTAGGTAAATGAAATTCAAGACCAGATATGGAAAGCGTAAGAGCAGGAGGCCCCGATTAACTGTATATGAACTTCTAATGAACTGGAAGTAATCTTATTTTAATTCAAAAATCATCTCCTGTAAGGAGATAGATACATGACGGCATGACTCTGTTGCTAACAGGAAAAGTATGAGGTACAGGGTCAAGCCACTGCTAATTTGAGGTGGAAAGCATATATTTTAAATTAAATAAATTAAAAATATGATTAATAATTGCAGCCCGGTTTTGTGATAATGTCATAATACTGGTAATTGCTCGTTCTCAGGTACAGATAAATGAACATAGTTCTTATAAGAGTAGTTTTCCTCACTTCACTTTAAAGTTATTAATTACACCTGTATTTCTTTATTAATAAAAGATATTAATATGAACTACACGTTGACAGGTGATCACTGTTTTGATGCTATTAATTTCACTATAAATTTCTGAGACATAGGAAATAATTTTGTCANATGCATACAAAGAATCTTAATAAATGTTTAGAGCCTGCCTCACCTGCAAATTCTAAATCCTCGCATCTCACTAGCGAGCATGTTCTTAAATATAAAAAAAAAAGAAAAAAAAACGAATCCATTTGTATTTTTATCAGATTTATGGATTTTTTTTTTCGTGTTTCATTCTTACTTTCAATTCCCACAGTATCTTGGGTGACTTATACGGGGAAGAATATTGACATAGGTTTGAATGCATCCGAGGAAACAACACTTCCAATGCAGACAAACAGGTCTTAATCGGATTTTCGTTTGAATCGGCCACGGAATTGCAATAGGTTCCTCTTTTTGGTGTTTTTGTTATCCGGAAAGGAAATGGTTACGTCAGCCGGGTCATTTTTATGTTTTTCGATACTATGAATATGATGCAGGTGGGATTTGAATAGCCAGGTGTTAAGAATAATCGATTGCGACTTTACTTAACGTGGTAAAGAATATATAAGCTGTATTATATGGGTTTATGGATTCGTATAGATGTAGAAAAATAAAAGTATAATAAAAAAAAAGCTAACTTGTCTGATTGAAGTTTAAGCTGTACCAATGAATCATATCGCATTGGGATCTAACAGATGGATCTTGCTCTTGCTTCAAATTCTTCTTGCTTTTCTTACTTATATTTTTTTTTCTGAAGAGAAGTTGAAGCGAAGTATTATGTATGTGTAAATCATGTAAATTTGCATCACTTATAATTTTATAGCATAGAATATTTTTATAAACAAAATTCATATAGAAAGATTTTCTTCTAAATTGCACCAATTTTATTATAAGTTTGTGGGGTAATTTATACTTACTTTTGCTGTTTATTATTTAAAAAAGTTCATTATTTCTAAAAGTATAAAGGTACATAAATGTTACCTTATTATAGATTATTTTTATAATTTGAAATTTGAAATTATATAGCTTAAATTTGAATAATACGACTTCAAATTTAAGGGGAAAAAATTGATTTATCTATAATTAAAACGAATTAAAATTACTTTTACTTAAATACGAATCATAATTAAGTTTAATTTTCGAATGGTAGATTATTATTCACTTACTGTTTTCTTTATTAAATTAATAAAAAAAATTTCAAATTAAATTCTCAAAAATGGCGACTAGAGAAACTCGAGTATAATTTAGTAAATTTGTCTTCCTGGTTGAAACGGCATTAAAGAGGCGTGCCACCCATTTAACATAAGTTGGATATGATATGGGATTTGAGGGGTTAGCTGCCACCTTCGTATCCGTAGACCCCTGACCTAAGAATATCGTCGGTGACGTCATACTCGGGAGCGGTAAAGTCACGATCGTCAGTTGACATGGAAACGGTAAGTCACGAGTGTGCTCCGTAGTGAGGAGGTGAGGTTAATGCAGGTGTTGATTTTAAGATGTCCACCTGCAAACTCTGTAATTTGACAAAAAAAAAAGCTGCATGTAATCATACAGGTGTCGATTCGCGTATTACAGAAAAGGAAAGGCGGCCATTTAGAAATTTTTATAAAATTATTAATTAAATGGAAAATTATTTATTTATTTATATATGTTACCATGCATACTTTAAAAAATTAGAGAGATAAATTATTGTCTGCGATAGTAATATTTCCAGTTTTCTTATATTAAAACGTCATTTAAATTGTTTCAGATTTCAATATATTGATTATCTGTGAGGTAAGTATATATATTCGATATTCGACCTAGTCAATGAACCGGAGAAAAGAAATTACTGGCAACTTTATGAAGTAGTCGACAATTCTACAATCTATTTTGAACGATGTATTTCCATTTATGTATTTTTATATAATTGTTGTTTTTCTAACCGATTCTCACACACGTTTTACAAATGTGCCATATGAAATTAAATTTTTATATATTTTGCAGCACTTTATAAAATGATTCCCGAAGAGGACGATGTATACGTTTACTGGTATAAACCATTGAACGACTGAAAAATTTTTACTATATATTTTGTCATTTTATAATTATTAAATGTAATAGCAATAAAATTTCGATTTAATCGTGAAAAATGGTGTATTATCGAATATATTATCTAATTTACATATAAAAAATTAAATATATTTATCATAAACTATAATTTTCTGCGTATAATTCGCAGGTTTTCTGTTTTAACAAGTCGATCTTAATGTGGATGCAGGTTATGAGAGGATGAAAATTATACGAAAAGATTTACTGTAGTTTCGTGATTGATAATCAAAGAGCAATTCAGAAACACCTGAATCAAGCTTTTATAGGTGATTGACCGATTTGCAAACGAAAAAGCGAGAAAATAATTTTGAAGTTTTTTAATGTATTATGTAGGGGAAGGTGGGGCAGGACGAGGACGTTAAGGTTTGAAAAGTCATAAGATGGCAACCACTTTAATGAGAATAATAATTTTTTCATTCTCAGCAACTACAACATTTGGTAATATATAATACTGTATAAAATTTAATTTTTGAAAAACGTTTTTAAAAACAATTTAATATTTTAAAATTATATGTAAATGCGCCATCTTACCCCACGGGTGGGAAAAGATGGGATATTACTTNTTAAACTACGTATATAGACTATATTTTTCTAAGTCTTTCTATATTTTTATAAGTGTTTCTATAGAGATTATTCTTTATTGTGTGGAAGTCGGTTCCAGAAATTTATGATCAGTAGCGTAAGCATGGACCTAACCTTTGTAAATAAATAAATGAATAAAAAAATGCAGGTGTTGTAATATATTATAACCTAGTATAATTAAAACTATAAAGCAGTTTATTTAAGTTTTAAAACAAATTTTATTTTTAAAATCCTCCATATTCCGGCAACTTGCTCTTTCGTGCATGATACTTTGATTGCTTTTCGCACGGCAAATTCACACTTTCGTAAATTTTCAGCCAAGAAAACAAAAATTTCGAGCTATTATGGTAATGAATTATATCAGTTTTAGTTTTAATAACAGCAAAATCATCTGTGAAAATTAATTTTTATTCTCTATTTTCTATTTAATTTATAGTTTTAAATAATGTTTATACATATTCACTGAAAAATAAACCTTTTTCTACCTTAACAAGAGACATTGTAGCTCTCTAGACATGGAACTCCACTCCTTTTTTTTAGCATGCAAGTCTATTGTTCTTCTATTAAACGTTCGATTTTCGCAGGCAGTTTTACATAGAATAGTAGACTATCTGTAAATGCAAACTTAACCGTAATTGTGTTTGCAGTCATGGCAAACCACAAGAGAAAACAGATGGGTACCTACGGAGACTCGTGATCTCATGGGCCCATGGCAAGGACTCATAGTGGAGGGATTCTGAGATAAATACTAAAAGTACTAATGCGAACTATACAAATTTGAATTTGAATTTGGCATCGTTAGCAAAATTACCACGAAAGGTCGAGAATACAGTAAAAATGATTCTGTTTGAAATTTTGTTTTCATATTTTTTCTCCTCCCGTGTTTAATGAAATAAAAAAAATTTCAAAGTTTTTATTTAATTTGTAATATTTTGCTATTACAAGGGATAGGTGATTTTTCAATAATAAATAAAATAATATAAGCAATTGCAATTTTCGCAAACGAAATCTGAATTTCGTTTCTTTCGGATTTCGGTTTCGTTTCGTCAATACCACGAAATAATGAATATAAAATAGGAATTACAATGCTAAATTTTTCTCATACCAGCAGTTTATAAACTGTCGTACGTATTATTACACGTAAAATAAATATATTTATCGAGTTTATT